CCCAGCTCCCTCTGCTCTCCATTCCACCCCTCCCATCCACACTCCTGTTCAGTAATCCTGAGTTCAGCGTGATGTGAGTGTGACTTAGAAGTGAATGGGAGAAGGAAGCTGGGAGCAGCAGTTAATTTGTGGATGCTATTTTTGTCGTGGTAATTACCCATAGATGCTGAGACATCTCCAGTTATGCTGGAGCCGAGCAGATTGTGCTRAAGAAAAGCCATTTCCACCCCAAACAAAAGCCTAACCCTTCTTTAATGCAGTGCTACTGTAGGAGTTTTATAGGTGAGATTTTGAATTTTATCCTCTGTAGTATCCCAAATGTACGTGTCTGGCTTTGTGCTGCAAAAACTTGTACTTCATACTGGCAAAATGARCCCTGAATTCTGAGAGTAACCCAAGGACTGGGCATTAATATTTGGCAAACAAATGATCTGAGATCTTTGTGACTTAGCTTCTGGTGGCATGAGGCACACACTGAGAAGCCTGGTAAAACACCAACGCCCACAGCCTGCTCTGCTGTACAAGCACAGATCCAGTGAAACAAAAAATAGCAGAGTAGTGTCACCTCTGTGGGAAAGCTACTTCCTTGAAAGGTCTGCTTGCATTTGATGGGTGCTGGCAGTAAAAGATTCCCAAGGGATGACACACCAGCCCACACTAGATTGCAAACATAGATGGAGCTGCCTACTGGCTGAAAATTTTTCCCCAATGCGAAGCTCAAAAATACAGAGAAATAGAAAAGTTCTGGTTTTTGTCTCCATTACCACCTAGATATGGACCTGGGGTGGAGGAGGGCYGCTGGTCTTGGAGCTGGCTGTGGGAAGAGCAGCTCCAGGAGCCTCCCCAGTGTTCAGCAGGCTCCCCATGAGGCTCCTGGTGTTTCTCACCTTCCTTGTGCACAGTTTGCTGTCCTGAAAGCTTGTGCCTGGAAGGTTCAGCTCTCCACATTGTTATCTGGGAGAGCAGCGGTTTGTGCTATCTCTGGCCATCTGCCATTTCTCCAGCAGGCTCAGGAACTGTTCTGATCTAGAGATATTTTTGTGCTTCTTCCTGCATCCCTTACAGAGCAAAATTACTGATCTTTGTTCGAACAAATCTCTGTTTGAAATCTTCAGGGGAGAGAAAGGGCTGAGGAGAAGCTTGTTACTCCACTGTCCTGTAGAGAATGAATGAATAAATGATGTTTTTGCTAGAGAGGTTTCTTTCAGGCTCTGCTCCTGTGTGAAAGATCACAGTATTTAAAGACAATTGTCAGGGGAGGCCATTACAGGTATTTGGCAAGTCAGGTCTCTCACAGCCTGACTCTTCCACAACAAAGCTAGTCTTGTTGKGAGGTGGAACTGTCCTCTTTGGAGCAGTGTGGATCTTATCAGCCTCCACACAATCTATTCATGGTGGCTTTCCTCTGGGCTACACATTCTTGTCTCATTCTGCTCGCCCATGGCTATATTTTGATGATATTTATGCTCTTAGGAGACAGACTGGCACCTACCAGGCTTCCAAAAATAAATCAATTCTTATTGATTTCGTACCCTCACCTGTAGGCACTGCTATGCTGTTCAAAAGTCAGTCCCCTTGGCTTCTTTGGTCCTGCAATGTGGAGCTGTGCTGTGCCACTCACCTGGTGCTCACCTGTGCAGAGCTCCCTCTGCAGCGTGGCACCTGCTCCAGGGGGTTCAGGATGCACTCTGGGAAAGCACAGGTCCATCATTATCAACTTGTCTTCTTGAGAACCCCTGGAGAATCATCCMGCCCATCCTGGCAGGTGGGAATGGTCTGATGGGCTTAGGGGAAAACTGGGCATGGGGAGGGCTGCACGGTATGGACTGACAGAGAATGGGCAGGAAAAGCCTGATCCAGGATTTCTGGAGATCTCAGTTCGAGGCTTTCCACCCTCTCAGAGTCTTGTTTCACCCAATGTCTCTCTGCTCCCTGTGCCAGCAAGGGTCTCAGGACATCCTGAACACACAACTCTGTCAGAGCAGTGGGACAATTATCCAGGGAATGTTTCCTGGTCTGGCCCTGAGGCTGCCAGAGCTCCAGGAGCCTTTGGACATTGCTCCCAGGGATGCACAGGGTGCGGTTGTTGGGGGTCTGTGCGGGGACAGGAGCTGAACTGGGTGATCCTRGTGGCTCCCTTCCAACTCAGGATATTCTGTGATTCTGTGATCTGTCAGCTCTTTCTGGAAATGAGACAACTGGCAGCATCATATGTGGAGGATTTCAAATGGTGGAGACCATCCAGGTTCCTGTGCTGAGCAGCTCTGGGGGTGCAGGGCTGGAGGATCCCTCTTGTGCACACCCAGGCTGCAGTGAGCAGCAGCCCCCGGGAGCAGCAAGGGGGATGTGGCTCCTGTCCAGCTGCTGCCACCCCACCAACCACAGCCAGGGTGCCAGGGGTCCTGCAGCCAGAGGTACTTTCCTCCTTGACCAAGGACAGAGCTCTCTTTCTCTCTCTGTCTGGGTCACAAACCAGCAGGACTTGCTTTTGTGGCACAGCTCAGTCCTGAGGCTGCTGGGAAGGGAAGGGAAGGGGCTGGGTTCCGAGCAGGGGTCACCCTATGAACTTGGCCCCAAGCAGCCTGAGGAGCCTCACCTCATTTGTCAAACCTACTGGACAGCAGCGATTTCTGACCTTCACAAACAGAGTTTAGGGTGTCTTTCCTCTTTGAATTAGTATTTCCTGAAATGCTGATTCACTGCAGGAAGGAGCAGGCATTACAGTGAGAACAGGAGGAGAATTCATAGCAGCTGGGTCAGAAAAGAGAGATAAAGCTTCAATTAATTTAAAGGCATAAGCCTTATTTGCCCTGCAAACTGCCATGTGAGGGGCCATAATTGCAATACTGAATTGTCTGTTAGCAAATTTGTCTTCTCAAATGTAAAGTTGATTAAATTACTGTGAGTAACACAATAATGTATGTCTGAGAGGTATTTATGGTCCAGGAAATAAAAATGTTACTCTCCARGTTATCCTGCTAAAAATTAGCAAAGTAGATACTGAAAGGCTCTACACATTTTGACTGTAAACATTTCATGCTGACAGCATGGCAAGGTACATGACCAGACTGCTCTCTCCTCTCTTTTTTTTTTTTTCCTGTGATATTGAAATTCCACGAATGGCATCTTGCATCAGCGTTACATCATATTAGGTATAATGCAATATTATGAGTCATTGTTATAAATCATGGGCACAGGCTGCATTAGAAGGCTTTTGCAATTCAAGAGCACATCAAGGTGGATTTTTATTCAGCATTTCTCTTTGGAGGCATATGCAGGTGCATTAGCTTTGCAATGCCTCTCCCTCCTCTGGAGCAGTAGCATTTCAGATTTCCCCTTCAGCTGTGAGGCTCGCAGGGGATGTGCAGGACGTGCCTGCCAGAGCTGCTGCAAACAGCAGGCAAAGCTGTGGGCACCAGGAGGTGTTTGTAAGATGGATCTTGCAGTGATCACAACAGACTGGTGTGTTTGGTGTTTTATCCTGTAAAAGCTGCAGCAGTGCTGAGGTGACATTTGCACAGCTCAGGGTTGAGTCCCAGGCTCCCATCCTGGACAGCCACACTTGAGGTACTCTTTATTCTCCTCCTGTCTCCTCAGGAGGACATTGCTGCCACCAGACTTTCCTGAACATC